TAACTTATATAACAATAAAAAAATGAGACCAAGTCCACACTTGAGTTTATTTTGGACCCAAGTACAAACCTGAACAGTCAGCATTTTTTTTTTATTTAATATATGAAACATTAGAGCATTTTTATTGGTTGACAGGTATTCTAGACAAAGTATTTTATTTTTGCACTGGATAGCTTTTGGATTTTTTATACTTGGGTTTGTCTATGCCATTTAGGACTTAAGTCCATTTATATGCCACATATGTAAAATTGGACCCAATGCATTGTGAGTGTTCTTAGTTTATAAGCCTAGTGGGCTACTCATTCCATCACCAAGTTGTCCCACATTGATTCTATATGGTAAATGACTCCTCCCATCACCAAATTGTCCCACATTGATTCTATATGGGAAACAAGTCTAGTTTATAAACTTAGTGGGATACTTATCTTTCATCACCAAGTTGTGCCACTATATAAGTCTAATTTATAAGCCTAGTGACTATTCCTCTCATCACTAATTAGTTTTGAGATAAAACCTCACTACATTGCACGTGCACCTGATTTCACGCTTATATATATTGAGCATATAATACGATCATGCTGCAAAACCAACCGTATTCACCATCTTAGATAGGGGAAACAAGCCAAATTTCATCATCATTTTGACTTGAATATAAATTAGTCAAAATCATTTTGCACATTTGGTCAATTGATGACCAAGCTTTCTAACAAGAAAATTGAAAGATCATCATTTTGACTTAAATATAAATTAGTCAAAATCATTTTGCACATTTAGTCAATTGATTGATCAAGCTTTCTAGAATTGACCAAGCTTTCTAACAAGAAAATTGAAAGGCGGACTAATGAACAGAACTAAGAGCTGGTTAAGGAACATTGTTATTAGTTATTACCAAAAATTTTGTATATATGTGACACGAGCATGGAATTAAGGAATTTGTTGAGAGAAGTGTGTTATTAATTAATTTGTTAAAATATGAAGAAATTTCAATTTCAATCATGCTCTTGGGACCTTCACATAAAACGATAAAAAATGTTGGCAAAATAAAATTGAGTAAAAGAAAATAGAAATAAGCGGTAAGGAAGAAAAGAAAATATATTTAAACAAGTTTTGTTCTTCTCCTTTTAATAATTTAAAAACACATCCTTACTCATTTCTAAAGACAATGGTTTATATTTTTATGCAGTTTTGTTATTACGTTTTCAAAAAATTACAACGAAAATTAATATCAAAATATTTCGTTGAAGTAAGTAAATTTTGGTTGAAAAATGATAGAATGTGAAGAAAAAGAGGAAAGATTGTATTGCGGTGGTGAAGAAACTGAAGAATGACAAAAAGTATGGAATTAGGGTTACAAGACACCTATTTATACTATCACTATGGAGAGAGTTGCTACTCACATAATAACAACTCTACTTATTCTAATAAGTTATATTAATGTACAACTAATGATGCTAATAGTACAATACAACTCGTAATAAAAAATACGTTCAATGTTGACAGTTTCAGAATCAAATTTTCGGACATTTTGCTATAGTAGAATTTCAGCTGATTATGTAATTTCCGTTAATGAAAAACTCTTTTATTGATAAAAAGTGTCAGTTGAAAATGGCAAAATCCAACAAAATAATTCAATAGCAATTCAAATGGAATATTTTAATTTCGTCCGTCCTTTAAATTTCCTCTGATTTTTTTTTAACAAATGTTATAACTTATGCGAGCATTATATTACTTGTTTGAATTTCCGTTGAGATATGTTGTAACATTATTATCATTGACTTCTGTCATTTTCAAATAGCGAATCTATATAAAAACTAAAACTCAGACACCCTAAACTTAGTACCTAAAAATTGACAAAATAGAATTAAAAAATAACTTTATCTTTTGCGCGTTTGATAAAACACTTACCATCAAACTACTGACACTAATTTTTTATCCTTCAAATTGTTTAGAACCATAACTTATTAGGTCTCAACCTTCGGCCAGCTCGGAGGTGAAATATATACCAAAAGATTCACCAATCCAACAATGAATAATTTATATATATTATATATATATATTAATTAATTAATTAAAATATACCAGCTCTAAGTGAATATAAGACAAGTTGGTTGTCAAATTTAAAAATAATTCGAAGTTACAAACTAGAAAAGGACAAAAATTCGGATTTCAAAAGGCAGATTTTTCAAGTGATAACATTATTACAACTGATGTGACATTAGTCCAATATATTGTAAAATGTGCATTACTTTGATTGTGGCATTGTTTAATATACCATTAGAGACGTATACTTCTCTTACATATATTATGAAGTGTACTATCGTTTTCATTATCTTTCTTAACTGTCAAAATCAATTTGTTATCTACCGTCTTTATATTCACTAAATATTACTTATTAAATTAGTACTTATAGTTTTTTTTTAACCATATTTCTATTGGCATGCACATAGTATGACTATATCCATCGTAATTATTTAAGAAAATGTTTAGTACTTAAATCATTTTGAATTCATCTTTTATTTCTATTACTACTCAGAATCCATCATAATTATTTACATAAAACATTTAGTAATTAAACAAGCAAACTATTTAAAATGTTTAGTACTTCAACAATTTTAAAATTCATCTTTATTACTCACATGTTTATAAGTAGAAAGTTATCTATCATTATATAAAAAGAATAACCTTTTTACAAATTTAGTAAGTTTTTTCCGCCAATATCATTAAATGTATACTACATATAGTAATTGTTGGTCAATTTTGAATAGGCAAAAAAATCGGCAGGTATATATCTGTTTTTCTTTTTCCTCTTTTTTTGGTACTCAAAAATCGCCGGTAACAATTCGGTAAATATTTATATTTCTTTTACCTGTTTTTATGGTACTCAAAATCTCATCCCTTATTTAAAAAAATAAAATATGACCCATTTAATTTTCATTAAAAATAAAATACGACCCATTTAATTTTCATCGGTCTAATTACTAATATTTTTACAAATATTATAAACTAACAATACATCCTCGATAACAATGTAAAAATATAATAATAATTTTGAAATTGTGTGTAATCAAATTTTTATTAGATGGAAGTAACACCATAAATTTGGTATCATCTAAAAGTCTTTATTAAATTAGGCTTATAACATTTTAGATATTTTAAACAAATTATTTAGATATTTTTTTTACATATTCGTCTATATATACATATATATATATACACACACATATACATAATTGATGTTAAATTTAAATATTTGTAGACATGTTTTTTTAAGAAACAGTCTAGAAAAATCTTTTTTACACAATGTTAAATTCAAATATTTTCAGATATGTTTTCCTTCTAAAATTGTTTAGAAAAATTGTAGGTGACTTCACATCTTGCAAAAATAATATAGAAATTTTTGAATACTTTTACATATACTAGTATAACATTTTAGGTGTTTTAATATTAAACATTCAAATTTTATATTCTCTTATACAAAATAATGTAAATTTTATTTTCTCTTATACAAAATAATTTTACATTGTTTGACCCCGAATCTTTAATTTATAATTATTAGGTATTGTTTATCCTCCTCTTTAATTTATAATTATTTTTTTTCTTCCTCTTTTTAAATAGAATCAATTGTAGTTTCCACTTAGTAACTCAAACTCGACGTCTATTTATAATATTGTAGATTTAATATTGTTTCCGTGCATCGCACGGGTATACACTAGTTTAAATCAAAAAAAATTTACTAAGTGTATGTTTACAATTTTAAATTCATACATATTAAAAAAATTTATTAAGTGTATGTTTACAATTTTAAATTCATACATATTACTTGGCTGATCTAACAAAGTACTTCCATTGATATTAGTTGGCATTGATCTAACAAATGATTTTCGGAGCTGTTTTGGTCTCTTGAATTGAGCTACTGACTCTCAATCCTAAGTTATGTTATTTATTAAAACTACTTCCGTTAAATAAACTTAATTTTTTATATTTAAATTTCTTATTTTTTTTATAATTAAATTTCTTATTTTTTGTTATTTAAAATCTAACGTTTTCAAATTCATTCTTCCTCCGTATCGGTTTTTATACAATTTCATTGAAATACTTCTCTATATATCATTTTTCAATCAACCGTTTAAAAAATTGATATTCAATCCAAATCTAATAGAATATTTTAAAAACGTTCTCTTAGAATATTGAAATATGAATATTTTAGTATTCTTCTCCATTAGAAATAAATTAAAATTTTCTTGCAGTGTTAATATTTTCTCCCACATGAGATAAGACACTAATGGACCAAATATCATCTGTTATGTTATAATATAATGTGTCTCAAGCATTTTCTTAAACTAATTGTTTGCAATTTACCAAAAATGTGCTGCACGTTTTGTTTGCCGTCTTTTTCTTTTTTCTTTTTCATTCCGTTAATCTCCTAAAGTACATTCTTACAAAATATATTACTATGAAATTTAAATATTGCAGGACTAGTGTATGAACTGTCAAATTAACTTGTAATTAAGCATCCTCAAAAAAGAAAGATTCAACACAAAATGGGAAATTAATTAACGAATAATAATACAGTAATCTTGTTGTTACACACTTATTATTTAATTTTCTCCACGCACGACCATATTTTTCCTCTTAAAATTGAATAATAACATACGAAGCGGCCATTAATTCTTTAAACTTCCTCAGCTTCAAATACTTCACCCTGCCACCAAAAAAACACAATCTTTCCAACATAAATAATCCAACTTCTTTAACTTACCAAAAATAAAAAAAATCCATAATAAATCGTATCTTGCTTGACAAAAATAAAAAAAATCCATAATAAATCGTATCTTGCTTGACATAAATAAATAAAAACCAGTTAATTATCCGTCACCATGTACGTACGTACGTGCATACGTACGAACAAAAATGGAAAAACGACGAATCCCATATGGGAATTAATTAATTTATAAATTTTGCTACTAAATTTATTTTAGTCGACCAAATTAATTTGTTCCTCACCTTTGCAGTTGCCATTTTCGTGACGACCTATAGTCGGGCAATGGCACTTTACCGGACTCGATATCTTCAATATCCTCGACGAGTTTCTGGTAATGACATTTGACCTCGTCAACAGTCTTTGTCCCGATAGCTCGAGCTATATTCTGCCACCTGTCTGGAGTGTCCTGATCGTACACTGCTAGAGATTTTCGAACAACTTGTCTTCCATGGCGGTCCAAGTCGAGTTTGACCCCACTTTTAGTAAATATTACTATATATAAATGTTGGAATTAATATGGAAACAAGAAACAAACAAAATGATAAAATGAAGAACTTGAAAGCACTCTATTGAGTTCACTGTATTTTTCAATACATAAAAACATACAGAATCATAACTACTTATGTAGAGCTAAACCCTAGAATATCATGTCATAACCAACTCATCCCACTACTATAACCATGACCACAATAAACTGTAAAAACTGCCGTGTCCATGCAGACTTCATGCATGTGAGGGTCCACGTTTCTCTTCATCCACGTTTCTCTTCATGTCTAACATCCCCCCGCAATTCGAAGGAGCTGAGTGGAATAACTTTGAGTTTACGACGCATGCGAGTGAAGAATTGACCTGAGAGTGGTTTAGTGAAAGAATCTGCAGCTTGGTCTATAGCTGGGACATGAAGGACGGAAATAGATTTGTTCAAGACCTTTTCTCGAATAAAATGAAGATCGACTTCAATATGCTTGGTTCTCCCTTGGATTATTGGATTACAGGACATGAAAACCGTACTAAGATTGTCCACCCAAATAGTAGGAGAAGGAAGTTTGGTGACGTGTAATTCATTGAGAAGAATCTTGATCCATAGAACATCTGAAACCGCATGTCCAAGGCTTCTATATTCAGCTTCAGTGCTGCTCCTTGATACAGTGTGCTGCTTTTTAGAACTCCAAGAAACCAAGTTATCACCCACAAAAACACAATGTCCTGATGTTGATTTGCGGTCATCGGGATCTGAAGCCCAATCTGAATCAGAGAAGGCTGAAATGTGAAGGTGTGTTGACTTGGTGATGAGCAAACCATAGTCTAATGTCCCTGCTATATATCTTAAGAGTCTCTTCATAGCTTTCCAGTGAGAGTCTAGAGGTGATTGCATAAATTGACTGAACTTGTTAACTACAAAGGTGATATCAGGTCTGGTCAATGTCAGGTATTGAAGACTACCAACAATTTGCCTGTAAAGGAGAGGATCATGGAATGGATTCCCTGAGTACTTGGACAGAGGTGGTGAAGTTACCATAGGTGTAGACATAGGTTTACAGTTTTCCATGTTTGCCTTCTTGAGAATCTGTGAGGCATAATTGTGTTGTGTTAAGAGTAGTCCTTGGTTCTTGTGATGAATTTCCATGCCCAGAAAATGGTGAAGCTGCCCCAGATCTTTTAGGGAAAAAGCATTGGAAAGAGAAGAAATGACCTGCTGCACAGCTGAAGTGGAGCTGCCTGTGATGATAATATCATCTACATAGACGAGCAGATAAATGATATGGTTGGGTGTGACTTTGATAAATAATGAAGTGTCTGCCAGAGAGGATTTAAAGCCAAGATTTAACAATACAAGACTCAGTTTATCAAACCAGGTCTTAGAGGCTTGCTTAAGACCATAGATAGCCTTGTTGAGCTTACAAGCAAAGCCTGGCATCTTTTGTGTCTCAAACCCAGGTGGCTCTTCCATGTAAATGTCTGTGGTGTTGTCTAGTTCCCCATTTAAGAAAGCATTATCCACATCAAGCTGTTTGATTAGCCATCCTTTAGAGAGAGCAATAGTGAGAATTAACCTGATTGTCACAGGTTTAACAACTGGACTGAAGATATCCTGATAATCAATGCCTGCCACTTGTGTATAGCCTTTGGCTACAAGTCTTGCTTTGAATCTAGAAATGGATACATCTGCATTGTGTTTGATTTTAAAAACCCACCTGCAGCCTATGGCTTTCCTATCTGTTGGCAAAGGCACAACTGTCCAAGTGTTATTTTTTATCAAAGCTTTGTATTCTGCCTCCATTGCACTTTTCCAATGTGGAGAGGAGAGAGCTTCTGAAATTGATGAAGGTTCTGATTCTGTTAGACTTGTTGAGTAAACTTTAGGCTTAAAAATTCCTCTCTTCGACCTTGTCACCATGTGATGATGAGACTGATTTACAGGTGCTGGTTGTGAAGTGGCTGCAATTGGACTTGAGTTTCTCATGTTTGCAATATCATGATCAGTATGTGATGAAGAAGGTGATGGTGGTGGTGTATGATGAGAGTTTGATAATGAGGGATTTGATGAATCAACTGAGTGTGTGGCATTTGATCTTGATGGAGTGATTAGCTGTGTATCATCATGAGTAGTATGCAATGGTAAAGTATGTGGTGCAGTAATGTTTGAAGATAGAGGTAGGAAGAAAGGTGAAGAATCATCATGTTGCTCAATATGCCTTGTAATAACAGAAGACTTGTATGGAAATGAGTTTTCATTGAAAACAACATTTCTAGAAATGATTATTTTCCCATTTTTAAGAAGGATTCTATAACCTTTAAACTGAGAATTGTAACCCAAGAATACACCCGATGAGGATCTAAGATCTAGTTTGTCTTTAGTGTAGGGTCTCAAGTGGGGAAAACACTCACAGCCAAAAACTCTCAAGTGCTTATAATTAGGAATTGATCCATAGAGTTTAAGATAAGGAGACTCATAAGAGATGGTCTTATTTGGTATTCTGTTTATGAGATAGATGGCTGTAGAAAAGGCTTGCTCCCAAAATCTTTTAGGAACACAAGAAGATGACATCAAGCTGAGAGCAACTTCTACTATCTGTCTGTGTTTTCTCTCAACTAAACCATTTTGTTGAGGAGTATGAGGACAAGAAATTCTATGGATTATGCCTTTTTCTGCAAACAAGGAAGTTAAAGGTTTAAACTCTGTGCCTCCATCACTTTGGACAACTTTGATTTTGTGATTTAACTGGTTTTCAACAAGGTTCTGAAAATGTGTAAAGGCTTTGAGTGTGTCTGATTTTTGTTTAAGAAAATATAACCATGTGAATTTGGTAAAATCATCCACAAAAGCTACATAATATAAGGCTCCTGAAGTTGATTTCATAGGACTAGGTCCCCATAAATCTGTATGTATCATCTCAAGAGGTGCTGTGGTATTGCTAACAGAAGATGAAAAAGGCAAAATATGAGATTTAGCTTGAATGCAATCAGCACAAAATACTTCTTTATTTGCATAAGGAAGGTTACAACCATTGAGAGCCTTCTTAGTTACATCAAAGGATGGATGTCCTAACCTCCTATGCCACAAATCTAAATCTCGAACTGAACTAGTAAAACAACAGCTATTTTTCATCTCATTCTTAGTTTGACTGGAAGACATGGAGGTTGGAACTTGGCTAGACAGCTTTTTCAGCTTGAAGGTATACAGGCCATCTTTAAGAGTCCCTTTGAGAAGTGGTGTTCCTGATGTTTGATCCTTGACAACACAAAAGGTAGGGAAAAATTCAAAAAAGACATTGTTATCCTTGGCAAATTGAGCAACACTAATAAGATTCTTTGCTATTTGTGGAACATGTAATAGGTTGTTTAAGGTGAAAGTATGTTTAGAGGTGGCTGTGTTGTGTTGATTAATGACATGAGTCTTACCAACATGAGATATTTCAAGTCCAGCTCCATTTCCAACCTGCACCTTGTTGTTTCCTGCATAATCTGAAGCAACACTAAGATTAGAGAAATCATTAGTGAGGTGATGAGATGCTCCTGAGTCTGGAAACCAATCACTTTCACTTGTGTTATCTCTTGCTGCATACATGGCTGAGGCATGGTTTCCTATACTTCTGTTATCACTGAAGTTCCTCTGGTTTTGCTCTCTTGGCACGAAATCTGGATTGAATCTGTTATAACACTTGTCTGCCGAGTGATTTGTGTAGCCACAAATTTGACATTGCACTCTATTTCCAGTATTTCTTCCACCACCTCTTCCTCTTATATTTCTGCCTCTTCCTCTGAAATTGCCCTTGCCTCTTCCTAAGCCAAAATTGTGTGTTGGCTTGTTTGTTTGAGAAGCAAAATTTGCTGTGGGCATATTAATGTTTTCAGTGGCAAGAGCAGTTGCTTCTAACCTGCTTTCATAAGTAAGCAACAAGGATGTAACATCTACCAAGGTGAGGCTTTCTGGCCTTGCATTGATACTTACCACAACTGCATCATATTCAGAACCTAGTCCACTTAGGACATGCATGATTTGATCTTGTTCTGAGATGTTGTGACCTCCAGCTGCTAAGGTGTCACAATAAACCTTTACCTTGTTTACATATTCTCTTATGCTAAGGCCTCCTTTCTTAAGGTTTTGAAGTTGGATTTTGTAATGCATAGTTCTAGCCTTTGATCTGGTTGAAAATGAGGCTTCTAGACCCTTCCAGATTTCAGAGGAATTGTTCATACCTATGACTGAAATCAAGACAGATTCTGATAAAGAAGAGAGGAGCCATGAAGCCAATAACTGATCCTGTCTTTGCCAGCTTAGAAATTCTGGGTTGATGTGCAGCAAGCCTTCTTCTTCTCCTGGTACAAATCTGGTTGGAGGAATGTTTGTGCCATCAAGGAAACCTTCTAAGCCATAGCCTCTTACTGTAGTAAGTACCTGCTGCCTCCATAGAAGATGATTTTCATCTGTGAGTTTAATGGTAATGAATTGGTTATGGAGAGGTATAGGTTGGAGACTAGAAGGCTGGCTGTTATTATGTAATGAGGAAGAACTCGAAGCCATGGTTCGAGCAACAAGAGATTAAAGAGAAAAGAAAGAAAAGCTATCCCTTCTCTGATACCATGTTGGAATTAATATGGAAACAAGAAACAAACAAAATGATAAAATGAAGAACTTGAAAGCACTCTATTGAGTTCACTGTATTTTTCAATACATAAAAACATACAGAATCATAACTACTTATGTAGAGCTAAACCCTAGAATATCATGTCATAACCAACTCATCCCACTACTATAACCATGACCACAATAAACTGTAAAAACTGCCGTGTCCATGCAGACTTCATGCATGTGAGGGTCCACGTTTCTCTTCATCCACGTTTCTCTTCATGTCTAACAATAAATCTATATATGTGTGTGTATTTTATATCAAAATCTAAATTGGTGTAGAATGTGACAATGTGACTTGAAAGGGTGGTCTATTTATAGCAATGAGGGTTTGTTGGGGTGGGAAAAAAAATGTTTCTTTTTTAAATATGGATAGACAAATGTAGTATGATATCAAAAAATGAAGGTACGTGGAAATATCGTTTCAAATGTACAAAGGATTTCAACTATTTCACTCTGCAAATGATCCAAATCTTGTGGATTGATAACTTTACTGCAAATAGCTCTGAAAAATGCACCTAATCTTATCAAAGCAAGGGCTACATCCTTGGGTAAAGTTTTCCTGACTGCAACTTGAAGTAAATATTGCATAATAATATGTGCATCATGGCTTTTGTAGCCTGATATTTTCAATTCTTTCATTTGCACACATCGTCCAATATTAGATGCACAACCTTGTGGTAGCTTTGCTTTCTTTAAAACTTCACAAAACATTGTTTTCTCCTTTTTAGTCATTGAGAAACAAGCCTTAAGCAAAAAGCAACGTTTGTTGTTATTAGACTCCACATGATGTAATGATGATTGTATTCCCATTTCTTTCATGTCTAAACGAGCCATCTAATTGTCCTTTGTTTTTCCATGCATATCTAACAAAGTTCCAATCACACTATTAATTATATTTTTCTCTATGTGCATAGGATCCAAATGATGGCGAGATGAAAGATATTTCCAATATGTCAGAGTGAAAAAGCATGATTTTTTTCTCCATAGGTATTCATTGATTTTCATTTTTGGCTGCATCTTTCCGAATGTATTTTTGAAATCTTTCAACAAATATAAGACCTCGGTTTGTGTTAAAGGTTTTGGAGCCTCTCTTTTTTCCATTTCTCCATTTAAAGATTTTTTATCTTTGCGCCAAGAATGATTTGCTTCTAAAAAATCTACGATGACCCATATCATGATTTTCTGCTATTGTCAAATACAAGTGCTCTGTTTCATAATGACATAATGGGCATGCATACTTCCCTTTCGTGCTCCATCCAGATAACATGGCATAGCCAGGAAAGTCACTAGTTATTGATTATAGAGCAACATGCATCTGAAATGTTTGATGTTTTGACACACTGTATTTCTCTGCACCACACTCCCATAAATCTTTTAACTCATCCATCAAAGGTTGAAAGTAAATATCAATGTCATTTCCTGGGGATAATAGCCCTTGGATTATTAAAGACATTATTAAATACTCTGACTTCATAAGTAACCATGGCGGTAAATTGTAGTTAACTAACACAACAAGCCATGTATTGTGCGTGGTGCTCATGTTTCGGAACGGATTAAATCCATGACTTGCAAGTCCTTGTCACACATTACGAGGTTCTTTAGCAAAATCTGGATACAAAGAATCAAAATTCTTCCAAGCCTTTCCATCTGCAGGATGCCTTAAATTCCCATATTTTTTCCTTTTCTCGTCATGCCATCTCATATAATTAGCTGTCTCAGAATATATATACATCCTTTGAAGTCGAGGTCTTAAAGGAAAGTGCCAGAGTACTTTTGCTGGAATATGACGAGTATCATTAAACGGATGATTATCATCATTTCTAGGTTTCCACCTTGAAGTATGACGAATATGGCAGGTTGTGGAATCTTTGTTTTCCTTCCAAAAGAGCATACAATCATTACGACAAGCATCAAGCTTTCAATACTGAAGGCCTAAGTCGTTCACTAACTTCTTTGCTTCATTAAAAGATTTTGGCAGCTTGGCTTCAGGAATAAGTTCTTGTAAAATTTTCAAAAGTTCAGAAAATGCCATGTTAGTTAACCCATGGACACACTTGAAAAGGTACAATCTGATAATGAATAATTTTGAAAATGCTTTGCACCCAGGATACACCTCTTGCTTTCCATCCTCAACCAATTTAAAAAACTTTTTGGCCTCCATATTAACATTCTCTTTGATTTCAGATTGGGGGTAGCTTGAATACTCGTCTACTATATTTTTCTGTGTATTGTATAGCAGACCTTCTATATCATCATGCAGTTTCCAATTATCATTTTCCCTCGTTGTGTTAGACCGAGAGGACATACCGTTCTCATTAAAACACCATTCCTTAATATCGGATCCAATATCATAGGCAATCAAGTGATCATACACTTCATCTCTACGGTGCCAAAAGCGATGATAACACTTCTTACATGGGCAAGTGATTTGATCTCCCTGAGCTCGAGTAGAAAATGAAAATTCTAGATAACCCTCCACTCCTCTAACGTACTCACTGCTAGATCGTGGGAAATTGAACCATTGATTTGCTTGATTATCCATTAAAATTTGAATAAAAAAACTACTTTGTTATAAATTGAATAATAAATATAAGAAATATAAGTTGTTTCAAAATAAAATATATTTTATCACAAAAATAAGAAATGGATGAGAATAAGGCAATGTATTAGAAGTCCCCAGGTGCCCACTAAGCACTCGACGAGCATCTAGAACAGGCCTAAAAATAGATTAAATGTCTTATTTTCTTTTAGGAATTTCATCAAACATATTAAATACATGTTTATGTTATATTCACCACACACCATGATAACAGTATAGAACCAAACATCATACCCCAGAATGCGGGACGAGAACGGTGGTTCAGCGATGAGAATGAAGGCCTGTCAAGTGCCGAGGGACAACGAGAATAAATTTATGTCTTTTTGCATTCTGCAAACTCAAATATAAGGTAGCCCCTGAAGTTGAACTTTGCTCTGTCTCTCTTGACTCTGGACTGATGATAAACCTCTAGTTTAAGTGGGATTCCAAACGTCTTTTACAATGTTTTAATTTAAATAGGAAATTAAAAAAAAAAAATGAAACTAGGAAGGACGGCCGCTCATGAAACCAAAAGGCTGGGTGCATTTTGTTTGGGTTGGGTTTTTTTCTCTTTGACCGAGTGACTGCTTGGAGTTGGAGACCACTTTAAGAAATGTTTCAAAGCCTAATTAACCCATTTAAAGAAACATTTCATTTTTCTTATACCTATTCTTTTTTTTTGTGTTAGATAACAAATCTACTAGATAAAATATTACTGTTGATGAGTTACAAATCATAATTTCTAAAAGTATTGCATGAAAAAAATATTAAAGAATATATTTTTTAATGAAAAATATGCTAAATCGTGATATATAGTAAATACAAAAAGTATTACACATATAGTGTCACTTATTTAAAAATGCTACATAAAATATTACATATTACTAAAGTGATACTAAATTGATGCTAAATTGTGTTATAAAATAGTAACTACAAAAAGTATTACACATATAGTGTCACTTATTTAAAAATGCTACATAAAAATATTACATAATACATATTACTAAAGTATTACTAAAGTGATACGTAATTTTATAAAACAAAAAGTGTTACAATAATATGCTACATAAATTCAAAAAATTAAAAGTGTTACAATGACCATGTTACCTAAAGTAACTTATGGTATAGTGGCAAAATTGTAATATACAAGGAATATAAGAGCATATTACTTACTTACGCCAAACATTTACACCGCCCAATGTTAGTTAAAGGGGTCAGCTCTAGCGGGTTTCGGGCTAGTCCTAGCGGGCTTCGGGCTAGTCCTAGCGGCCTTCGGGCTATACGGTCCGGAGCCTAAAAAATATTGATTTAGACGGGCTATCAATAAAGGACCTTAACCCTGTTTTTTTCGGGCTAAACGGGTCGGCCTGTCGATCCAAAAATCATTTAACAACTTTAGTTCTAATTGAATATAAGACAAGCTTGGTGGTTAAATTTAGAAATAGTTTGAAGGAACAAAGTACAAAAAGACAAAAAGTAAAAATGGTTGTGTTTGGACCGTGGCTTTCGTTACTTTCTCGGTATTTCGCGATGGGTGTTTGCCCGGGGTGTGGTGGTTCTCAGATTTCCCGTCCGGTGGGGAGGGCTGTCTTTTTTGCAGTGTTTTAGATTTATGTGTTTGTGTTTGTTTGTGTTGTTAGTGTTTTGTTTGTGTTTTATTTGTGTTGTTACTGTGAGTTAGTGTTTTTTTCTTCCTTTGGAGTGTGAATTCTCCCGTAGGGAGTATGTATTCCTCATTAGTGGGGTTCTTTAGTTTTTGTGTGGTTTTGTTGTGTGTTGTGTTCTAGGCTACCTATAGTGGTAGGCCTCCCTTATTCGGCTAGTGAGCCGGTTGTAATTATGTGGTTTATTTTTCTATGAAGACCATCGTTTGAAAAAAAAAAAAAAAATTCAGGTGATAACATTATCATAAATGATATGACATTAGTCCAATGTTTTAAAACGCCAATTTAAAGACATATAGGTTGTATATTGTAAAATGTGCAATAAGTGTTTGACTGTGGCATTGTTAGCATCTCTAATGGCTTGTGCATTGTTTCATTTCATTGCCACATAGCCCCAAAAATCCAAGCATGTAAAATTTCTAGAAGTCTTTCTAGATGTAGAAAGACTTCTAGACATCTTTTATTATATATTATATTATTTATTTTATATATCTCTCTCCACCAACTAATTATTATCTTACACATGTCAATTTATTCTATAATTGACATTCACCATCGGAGACAAACTATTTTTATTTCTTTAATTCTCAACATACATATCAAAATAGACATTGGTTTTGTTTGGTAATCAGTTGTTAGCTGTTATCGGATTGCATTAGCTGTTTTGATTGGCAGATTGTGTTTGCTGTTTTGACCCGCTGATAGTGTTAGCGGTTTGTAAAAAAATATTTAGTAAATAACAAGTTTGGATTAGCTGTAAGGACATCAACAAACTTTTTATCATTATTATTTATGTTGAACTTATAATTATTTAGAAAATAAAAATAATTAAAATTTGAAATGTCTATTAAAATGATTTAAAACATATAAAAATATAAATAACAATAGAAAAAAAATATTTTTTAATCAAGTAATCAAGTTCACGTTATATACACGAACCTAATAACAAATCATCAACTGCTTTTAGGGATTATTTGGACAATATTAGTGTCAACCCACAATTCTAAATAAAAAACTATCAAATTATATTTGTCCTTAACCTTAGTTGATAAAAATCTTTCTTTTTCCTACATTTCCACTTTCATTATTTCCGCACCAATTTACACACAACAAAAATTGCTTAATTTCAAATAATCTGACCAGAACCATCGTCCCCAAAAATCCATGGGCCACAATCCTAATAAAAAACTCCTTTCTTTGACGAAATTTGGTGTCTTTTTTTCCAGAATTTGGCAACCCGTAATAAGAAATCGCAATTGAAAAAAAACTAGAACACTTTCAATTTTTATTTATTTTTTTTATGTTTAATTTATACCCTAAATTAGTTTCAGCCATTGATGGCTGATGCCCTGCGGTCGAAATCCTCTCGTGATAGGGCTTCGGTCGCCGTCTACCAAGCCTGTGAC